ACACACACACACACACACACACACACACACACACACACACACATATATATATATATATAGTGTAACTCATGTCTCATCTCTGCCTGCTCTACAGGTGTTGACACCTGAGTTGTATGAAGAGGAAGTTGTCAAACCTCTGACACCCGACGGTAGCAGTGGCTGGATATCTCACCGCATGCACACCGTCGATCCGTGGATGCTCAGTGATGGTACCTGGGTTGCGGGTAAGAGTATTAGCAGACCAGGATAACATTTTTGGATATGAATTGCAAGTAAGAGTATCATCGTACCGTGATAGTGTGTACGGATTTCATTCGGAAACCCAGCGTTTGGTTGAGAGAGTATATGAGTATATACTGCTGTGTGCATGCTCAGTGATGGGTTTGGCGGATGGCAGGTGTAGTATAGCATATGGTACCACGAGACAAGATATATTGTACTTAAGTTCGTTGGCACGGAGGTTTATTACGATATCCTACCAACAATCGGTTCGGTTGCCACGTGAAGGCGTGGTAGTGTTTTATTGGATAGCAGGTAGGATGTGTTGTATCCAGACCTGTGCACACAGTTCAGTAAGTTCAGTATAGGATTATGGATACGCAGGCAAGGTACCTCTCCCCTCATGCTCATTGGTAGTATCTCTGTGGGGCAGATAACCCAATCTGGTAAGTCACGAGGCATTGTATACGAATTTTAACGCGGGGTTTGATGAAGGGATTGCCCAGGCAAGCCCTTGCTGCGTGCATGCTCAGTGTGGGAGTTACTTAACTCAGGCTATACAAGATATATATTAAGTAAATTGGGAACACACGTGTATAAGGGTTTGTACTGGCAAATGGGTGATCCGTGAATGCCCCCACCTGAGGCAATACAAGATATATTGTATACAATTTTAAAAACACCTTTGCACATGGGTTTGTACTGGTAATTGGATGATTCGTGATTGGCCCAGTGATGTTACCTGAGGCAATACAAGATATATTGTATACAATTTCAAAAACACCTTTGTATATGGATTTGTACTGGCAAATCGGGTGATCCGTGCATGCCCCTAGTGATGGGGCGTGTTCGTGGGTAGTCGTTCGCGGGTAGTCGTTCGTGGGTAGTTCGTGGGTAGTCCATCATATTGATCCTATTCCCTTCTCTCTCACGCGTCCCTTCTGACCCACTCCGCAGGCATCGACGGCGATACGCAGTACAACATCCCCATCACAACCTTTGTGCTCAAGTGGTTGGGCCTTTTAATGGGTCTCTGCGCGTGCCTGATCTGGTACCGGTGCAACATCCACGCGAACCGGTTAAGGATATGGCGCACCCTGCCCAGCAATGACTCGTGGGATGGTGGGTTCAATCGGAAGACGCTGATGAGTGGGTGGGATACGCGTGATTCCAGCATGCGGCGAGTGAACTCCGCACCCTCACGCGGCGACACGGCAGGAGGTACCTGTGCAACCAGCTGAACACGGGCGTACAGGCATGCACGTACATTCATGGGTACTTGAATCTACGTACATTCATGGCTACTTGATCTACGTACATTCAATGGTACTTTATTTTACGTACATTCATGGGCACTCGATTCTACGTATTTCATGGCTACTTGAGTCGGCACGCCGATGCATTTATATGTACTTTGTTCAGCCCTTGGTTCAGTAGGTACATTCATATGTACTTACTTCAACACCTGTTTCAGTAGGTACATTCATAATTCATATGTACTTGGTGAAGCACCTGTTTGAGTGGGTGTGAGGGCAGATACACACCTCTGAGGTGTGCACCGATAGGCACTTGTGATCAGCGCCAGACTAGCGTGACGAACGCGTAAGACCCGGACAGGGACACAACAAGAGTGTATGTCTCACCAGCCGAGCATCAGTGTACTTATCCACGCGCATGTAGGAAGCTGTAGCATAGCTTAGGAGTACTGGCACACCACCATTGTGTATGCGTTTGGGTGTGCGGGTTTGGCAGGAGACCTATGGAAAACACGCCTACCCATCCATGTATTTTCACGAAACGGCCCTGGTGCGGGTGCTAGGTACAAGCATACCGCACAGGTCAGCTGAATGTACCACCAAATGCGATGGCTATCTCGCATCGTTGTGGGCGGTTACAAGATTCATCGTCCGTCATCTGAAGTCTGGTTGCTTAATTGCTTGTGCCTGATACGGCTAGGAAGGTTCATAGATGCCCCGTCCGTGACTGCTGCTGTGGTCAGGTGAAATTCGATTGAGTTTGGATTGGGTGAAGTATTGTATACTTGGCTCGGCCTCGATGCTCGAGATATATTTTGGGGTTTATCCGCTGGTGTGCGATGCAAGCATTCGTTGACTGGAATATCGGGGGAATGGCGTACGGTGTGGTTAGTGGATGGTCCTTAGTTGAAGGCTATTGCTCGGTTCGGCACAAGCAGCAGCAAGGACGCATGACTACAATTTACGTTGTAACTCGATGGGTGGCATAATGCTCGAAAGTTGCACCTGGGCAACACAAACACATAAACATACGCACATACGCACATACGCACATAACACAACACAACACAACACACACACACACACACACACACACACATATATATATATATATTATATAAATATATATATGATATATATATATATATATATAAATATATATATACCACACACTACAATAAAGTACACCAAATCACATACATACACGCACGCAAACTGCCACACATCCAGTATGCGCAGTCCTGAATACGGGTACTAAACTCCATCTGAAAGGAGCGTGGTCATTTGCCAGGAGCCCAGCTTGACACCAACAGCACCTGCCATTTAAAAATAAGAGAAGCTCGCTGCGCCGTCGCATTGAATGGTGGTGTGGCTGCAAGCATTAACTTGGGATTAGAAAGGTTGGGCTTTGTGTTTGAATGTGTTCGTTCCAAATGTTACAGTAGACTATAGTGGAGCACCGTTCCCGTTACACAGGAAAACAGGAAATTTTTATTAGACAGCAATAGTTGTGACCAACCTCTGTGGGTGACTTTTAAACATAATTTCATTTAGTTATAATCGGCACATTAATATATGCCAAATGTCAAATCAAATCAAATATATTCGTCAATAAAGTGCAATAGATGTAGAGGCTAGAGTAACAGTGACGATAATCCTGATTTGAATGACTTAATGTCTACCGTATGACAAAGAGCAAACCTCATCGGCTCTCGGTTTCCGCCCAAGTTTCTTTCCGTATGCACATGTTTCGCATCCCCCAGACCGTCACTAGTAATGCCTGTCTTGATGTCGATGCTCTTATTCTGTCTGGGGTTGCGTTTTGTCACGCTATCGGGAGATTGGATTAAACAGAATATACTACTACCGGAGGAATAGTAATTGACGGAGTTGCAATAAAGATCAAGACTGAAATGTACAAGCAAACTGTACACCAAAACCTCACAAGTCGAATGCATACATTTTTTGATTGTCGGAATATTATTTTGCGCTTTACTAGAATATAGTGACTGGTATACCCGGTATCCAGTACTCTGAGCTAATTCCTATTCATTTCGCAAACTAATGATAATCGAAATGAGCTAAGAAAAAATCTCTCTCCATAGTCTGCTAGAAGAGTATAAGCCCAGATGGGAATATATTATCTGTATGCTGGGTTGAGCAAACTTTAATTTGTTGCCTTTCCATAGTAGTTAATTTAAAAACCTTATAAATGTACAAGATTAAAAATTTAACATACACTCCAATTTAACAAACATTCAGAAAGATCTGCCATGCAGGTTTACGACGAGATGTTTAGGCAACAAAATTGGAATAGAACAAATAAGTATTGAGAAAAAATGTCGAGGACACCTTTATGAGTGTTTGGCTGTTTGCAGGAATCATTCACCTCCCCTTGAAGATAAAGAAATTAAACATTTCATCACTGCATACCTCAACACCTGAGCGCCAGACAACCGCCTAATCACTACTCTAGAAAACATCTATCGATTTACCCCTGGAGGACAGTGTGAGATCAGCCGACAGACCCACAAGGCACTATCGATAACCAATAAAATTTCGATGACGTGACGTAAACAGTCATTTGATGTCACTTTTTAAAAGTTATGTGACATCATATAGTATGATCATTTGGAGTTTGGACTCAACTCTCAAGCTGGCTAAATACTAAAAAGACTAATAGTGCGAGGTTTCAGGTTCTAATTTCCATAGCAACAAAATGGGGAGTGGTTGCGGGAGTCAGTTTAAAGTGTTAACCATCACTCTCCCCCCTCCTTCCCCCTTCGCCTCTTAAAGTTTGGTCACTAGTATCCATTGCAGATCTTAGATCTACCTGGAGGACAGCTTGACAGGCCCAACGCACTAGTACACTACTGATAACAAATTAAAATGTATGTGCATAGTTACTATGTCGTAATTTACCACTTACAAGTTATGTTAAATAGACTGTTAAGTTAACTTATTTAAAGAAAAGTTTTAGGCGGTCAATGGGACACGACGTTTAATTTGAAAACCATGAAACAATATGAGCTCTACAAATATCTATGATGTCACATATTGTCGAAAAAGCGACGTCAAACCGGTCGTTGATCGTTATTCTTATAAAAAAGAAGGAAACAAATAGTTACAAAGCAAAGCCTTCTAAATTGAACATACAAACAAACGAGAACACCATATAAAATAAATATGTAGCATAGCCTTTGAAAAAAGGCATAAAACACAGGGTCATTGCAGTACGATGTATCACATTCAAAATTAACATTACATATTATATACTGAACAACATGAAGCTAGCAACTGTCGCACTTCTCATTGTCGCCCAAGCCATGACCTCCTTGGGTGCACCGACCAGATCGGCCTACAACCACCACGGTACTGCGCCCTGTGAGTATGAGGGTGTTACAACGTCACATGGCCAGTCGTACACCGGTGAGACGCATATGTGTATTTGCAATAACTCCAAGTGGGAAGACTGCGAAAAGTCGAAATACCGCCCAGCACACAAGTACAACAGGTTCAACGAGTATGAGGATGACAAGTATAAGCAGGAGCATGAGGTGGACCGTACGACAACGAGAACCGTAACAGAAACTGATGTCGTGAGAAGCACCGATTACGCCACAGTTGTTGAAACAGAGACCAAGACAAAGTTGAAATACAAAACCCTGACTGATACAGATACGAAAACAGTAACTATGACAGATATTGAGATCGAGACAGAGTTCGAAACTTTGATTCACGTCGAGACCTCAGCGATATATGAAACCGGTTTAGAAACCGAGACATCTACAGCAGTTGAAACAGCCACGGACACTGTTACATCAACGAAGATCAAGACTAAATCAAGCACATAAGTGCTAACCGAATACACAACCGATATTGATTCGGACACTGTCACCGATACTGATATCGAAACGAGCACCAAGATTGAGACTCAAACAACCACTGAGGCCGAAACTGAAACAGCAACAGACACCAAGGTTATCAAGGTCTCTAGCACTATCCTGCACACTGGATCGGAATCGGTCACGGAGACAGACACAGTCACGGAAACAGAAACAGAAATAGTCTACGTTACTAAGGCGAAGTATGACCCTAACAAAGAAAGTGATGTTTATGACATGGGAAGCGGTTTGTACGACATGGAGGACAATGATGAGTACAACAAGGGGGGTGATTCGGACAACAAAGGTAAATACCAACAAGCCTATTACAGAGCTACTGGTCACGCATAGTTAAATGAAGTTCAAAGGAAGTATTAAAATCATGATGAGTGGAGATGACACTAGGGGGGGCTTATATCAAATGAAATAAATTAGCAAGTGCGGTATCATAATATTTGACAAAGCACCGAAACAGAAACAGAAATAATCTACGTTACTATTAAAGGCGAAGTATGTTACTAAGTCGAAGTATGATCTCAACAAAGTAGGTGATATTTACGACATGGGAAGCGATGGGTACGACATGGAGGATGATGAGCACAACAAGGGGGACCAAAAAGTTACATATCAGCAAGAGGATCACAAAACTGCTAGCGCATACTATTAAGTATATTATAGAGCCAGAATTTGGTTTATAGTAGAGCCAGCATTTAAACTACAATTTACAATGAAGATTGCTGCAATTAGATATCATGTATTGCCCATTTAGCATGGTTCCATGTGTGTGGAGGTGATGCCCGTATCCATTCGCATGCAGCGGTTTCAATTCTCGATATACGGTGGTTAAGTAGATTCACGACTTCTTGCATGTTCAAATGGAACATTGCTCCACTTGTCGGCTGAGTGATAAGCATGGTTCTTGGTCGATGTGCATGAGCCGGTGTTTACTTTTGTTCGAACCAGCGACAGATAAAGTTCCAGATCATCTCTAGAAAATGGCGCACAGACTGGTATCAACCCCGCACTTTTGTAGGTACTTGACCGTACCAAACCTAACTGAAAATATACTTCGTAAATGATAAACATTTTTATCCCAACGATAAGCCGTGTCTAATGTTTATAGAGTCATGCACTCGATGTAACTATTACTACGCACCTATTATCGTCGAATGTTTACTGAGTGATGCTATCACTTACACACCTATTATCGTCGAATGTTTACTGAGTGATGCTATCACTTACACACCTATTGTCGTCTAATGTTTACTAAGTGATACTATCAATACACATCTATTGTCGAGGCCGTGTGCAAGGTGGCGGTGGATGTTAATTTGCCGCTCTCTACTGAAATACATGATACCGTTGTGTCTCATTTCGACGACTGCTTTGGTGAGTGACTACGCCGAATACCAAATTGAGGCTCTCAGTTGCATCGTCCGAGATATACACATTCCAGCCTAGTGATTGTCGTTCCCAACATTACAGACTGGCTGTCATAGGTCAACAACATGCCCTTGACAGACCAACTAATAAACTGACACTAAACACAGCTTCTCCGCGGTAATAATTATGCCCTGATAGTAATCCAATAGTGCACTCCATCAGCTGAAATGCAACCAAGCCGCGAGCGCCCCTCCCTTCTCGCGTTCCAGTCTGCTTAACAAATGTCGCTAGACGAAACGTATCGCTTATACAGCCCACACATTGGTCAGCATAGAATGCTTTTCTCTCGTCGGTGGCCGGTGTCATTATTCCATTGGGTCGTATATGATTTTTAACGCGTACGAAACATTTAGTCATTTGTACACTCTGATGCCACGGATTCGCTGTAGCCCGCTGAGCCCAATTTTCAATACTCTATCGGGACATGAACAACCGATCGGCTATACACACACACACACACATATATATATACATATATATCAACATCGCGCTTCATCGTCTCAGGATCCACCTCCATATCCCTCGTTGTCTCTATAACGGTATGTCCGTGTACAAACCGGCGGCTAATACCATCCCATCCACTGCTGTGTCTACCCCGTATGAAGAAGAATCCCCCCTGCCAACCAATGTCATACCTCCTTGTCAGCTCACGACCTCAAGCACTTTCATTGTCGTATGCGTGCCTGCCACTTAAGCTAGGCCGTATACAAACTAGCTGCGAATACGATATCCCGTTTGATCAGCTCGGATGCTAGCTCCATCTTCTTGTACAGTAAGGGGTCGCCTATGACACGCGCAGCGTTTCGCACGTCACGACAGGTTTCGTCCAGTCGCACTATACACCGCACAATGACACCCTCCTCCACTGTGGTCAGGTTGGTGATCTCCGCAAACGGCTGTGTGGTGTGGTGGTAGGTGGCATAGACACACAGCTGGGTATGAGTTGCAAGGCTAAGCAGGTCATGATGGATATGAATGCATGCATGCGTCATTTTGGATAAATATACATGCACGTGCCTTTTACTAAGGAAGTCTAGTCGTATATGCAGACACATTAGTGCTACTTATTCACACACTTGGTCCCTTTATACACTTTGGATTACCAGATGTGACTACGCGTGTAGGTGAAAAGTAAATTTCAGAAAACGTATACGCGAAGGAACATGCGCAGTATCGCAGTACAATGTGTCTCTGAACTATCCGTACTCAATTTGACTACGAAACGGTATACATGCAGATACAAACAACATACAGCTCACATACAACGTACAGATAATCAACGGTTAGAAACGTACTCAATCTGACTGCGAAACAGTATACTTGTAGGTACAAACTACATACAGCTTACATGCAACGTACGGATAGTCAACGGCTGGAAAATACGGTAACACAAAGTTGCAAAGTTGCATGGGCTGCAAGCCATACACCCAGCCCAGAAAAAGACTATGCCTAATTTAGAACAAATCTATATATAGAAAAAGTAGTAAATGTACCTTTTGGTACCTACTCCATCTATTCAAGAATCGTACACTGATACTGATACTGATATAATACTAATACTAATACAAATACTACTAAACCTAACAACTGAATCTTATCAAGGGCTACTGATCGATTCAATGAGATAACCCTAAATGAAACCCTAGGATGCCGTACCTTCCCCACATCACTTGAGACCAGCACCCCACACAAATATAAACTTACCATCCCCCTGGCCCATTCGTACACAACTTCAACTAGACCGAACTTCAACGTCTCGAGGTAGGTATCAACGGGCTCAGTCATGCCGCATTCCATTTGCGTCTCGCCAATCAGAGTCGCCATTTTGATGATGTTTTCTTGTCCCTATGTCACACAGGGTGTAGACATGAATATCGATACGATTGAGTTGATCAACTA